GTGAAAATAAAATAAATTTTAGACAATTCAACTTCTCAACACTTATTTGTATGAAAATTAGTAATTAAATATATTTGATTAATTTAATTTTCAACTTAAAAAATATTATACTTGTTTATTTTCTATTGGTGTATGGATAAAAGATAGTGGACATATAAAATAGAGAAAGAGAGAGGGATTACTTGTAAAATAAAAATCACCCCATTCTTAAATAAAATGTCTTCTTTGTTTTTGATGTTAATATGGTCATATAACCAAACATTGGAAAATATTTTCATAAAAAAATTTGTCAATCAAATACTTAAATCATATTTTTCATAGAAAATAAAGTCAATCAAATACATTTTGAGTTATGGTATTTGTTTTGATAATAAGTTTTTCTGTTTTAGGAATTTTAATGGGTTTGAAAAAGTTTCTAAAACAAATTTTATGGGATAATCATAGTTGGATCCCACTGGTTAAGTGTAGATTGATGCAGCGGTGAATCGTTTGATGATATGGTAACACGTAAATTGAGACTTTTTCGGAAACTTAAAATTACATTAACAGCTTAAAAACACCACATCTAAGAGAATTTTTGAAGATCTTAGATTACACCTAGATAGCGTCATAAGACATAAGACGAATCAAAACACATACATACAAAGTTATGTTTTTTCTGTATCCACATGTTTTGATTCATTTCGAGTCTTTAGCATTGGATCTCTAAGTCTTTTAGTTTGTACATTTCTTCATTTTGTTGTTCGGGTATGCTCAGAGTACTTGTATACGTCACTTAATCTTTGTTTGTCCGGATATGTCCAATGTACTTATATATGAGTTTTGAATAATATAATTTACATTTATAGATCAAGAAAATATTTGCTTTTTTTTTTTTCTGAAATTTTCCGAGGTTAGCATTGACTTGTACTTGTATTTAGGGTACATTTGATTGTCAATATTTTTTATGAAAAATATTTTTTTACCTAAATTTCTACTTTTGTGCTGTTTGTTGACATTTTTCTATGGAAAATATTTTTTACTTTTGGTCACGTGATCATATTTTTCTCAAAATCAAGAAAATATTTTCTTTAAGGCGAGTAGTATTTTATTTTCCAGTGAATCCACTCTCATTTTCTCTCATATCATCTCTCATCTACTTACCAATAAAAAATAGATAAATATAATATTTTATAAGTTGAAAACTAAATCAATCAAACCCGTATACTTAATATTTTCCACACAAATAAGTTCTAGACAATTGAATTGCCTAAAATTTATTTTCTTTTCATACAAATTTCATGCTCACAATCAAATCCACACTTAGTGTAAAACTAAAATTTAGAAAAAGATTGAAAAAAACTTACTCAATTTAAATTTATAAGTATAATAAATATATTGATTTATATAACAATTTAGGTCCCATTTGATTTCCATTTTTCTAAGGATGAGAACGAAAAATATATTCGTTATAGGACCCATCCAAGAGATAAAAAGTCAAATATGGTGGTTTGATGTGATGAATAACGATTATATTTTTCATTTTTGTGGCAGAAAAAAAAAGAAAATCAAATGGGGGCTTAGATTAAGTGCTTGTTTGGTAGGGATTTTGATAATTGATTTTTTGATCATTAGAGAGAAAAATGGGTCCTACATGTGAGAGAAAATTTTCAAAAATGACGGTTGAAATAGTGAAATAACGGTTAAAAAATTGATTTTAATTGACTTTTAAACCCTAAACAAGCTCTAAGAGGTTTGTTTTAAATTGAAAATAAAAATAAAAATTAGATGCTATCCATGTGATCAATTTTCATAGGAGAAGCGCGATGGTGAAATTTGAATTAATCGAGGGTATTATCCCCGTTTGGCCATCATTATTTTAAAATTTAATAGGTGAAATAGTATTTTTTTTTTTGAAGAATTGATAGTTAAAAAAAAATGAAAATTTTTCGGTTTACAGGTAATATTATTTTATAAAAGATTATGTGGTGGAAAATACGGAAAAGAAAAATAAATTTTAACTGGAGCTAAAGCTGCCGCCGTAAATTTTGACCTCCGCTAACATGCGAATTTTTGACCCCATGTGGCCCATGACCGGCCCATCATTTACATGAAGTAGGCGCTCACCAGGCTCATGCTATTGCTTGGACCCACTTGCCTAAACTCTCGGTGAATAATAAGCATTTCTAATTGGAGAAATAGCAGAAGAGGTCTGCAAACTTTAACTCGCGTTGCATTTTGGTTTCCAATCTTCATATTGCAGCATTTACATATCCAATATTTTATTGGGAAAATTACATCATTGCAGGTATTTGAAGATCACACTTCAAAAATCAGGTACAAAACATATTTAATCAGAAATCATGTAATAATTTAATATTTTATTAATAATAATTATATTCCTAATTCAATACCCACCAGAAAACCTAAATCATTTTATCCCATTATCTCTCTCTCTCTCTCTCTCTCTCTCTCTCTTACTCTCCTCAACAATGAGTAGCCATAGTTGGAAGCCGTCGTCGGAGAGCACCGTCGACGATGCTGTTGTGATCTACTGCTATGCGATCTGGAGATGGTGCAGTCTGTCTATTGCACTGCTCACGAAAAGTTGCCTCTCTATCACTCTGCGTGCAGCGATGTCGCCGTTCATCGCGCTGTCGTGTGCAATCGACGCTGCTAATGGTGTTAGTGGATCGTGGTAGTGCTGATGGAGTTGGTGGTTCGTAGCAAGTGCAGTGATGCCACTATGACTACAATTGATGGGATCCAATTCTAAATAGTTCCGCAGTGCTCTCGGTCAATTGGGACTGTTGAGGTGGTGATGATGTGTGGTTGTGGTTTTAGTGACAGTGGTTTTGGTGATGTGGTGGTTGTAATTGGATTTGGTCGGTTGTAGTTCTAGCCGCAATGGATTTGGATGGTGATGCGATGGTCTTGGCGATTCGATCTGTTGAGTTGGCGGTGGTTTTAGTGGCGATGGTTTTGGTAATGTGGTGGAGGTGATTGGATCTAGTGGGTTGTTGTTCTAGCGATGGTGGTTTTGGATGGGAGTTTGGGTGTAGTGGTGGTGGGCTTTCTCTTACTTTTTGGGTGATGGTGACTGTGACGTTGGTTGGCGGTGGTGGTCGTGGAAGTGGCGACGGTGGTTGTGGATGGGATGGGTGGCGGGGGCGATGGTGGTGGTGCTGGTCCAATCTGATTGTTGGTGGTGTGGAGTAGACGGCGATGGTGGTGGTGGTGATTTTTTTTGCTAAATTGGTGTTTGTTTTGTTGACAATATTGGTAGCATTGCAGTCGATGGTGTGGTGCAAGCGGCAATTGCACGGTAGTGATTTGTGATTGGTGTTTGTTTTGTTGACGGTGTGGTGCAATCGACGATTGGATTGTGGTGATTTGTGACCAAGATTAGTGTTGGATGGGACCGGTGGTAGGGGTGATCATAAAGTTTGGTTTGGTCTGTGACCTTAAAAATTGACTATCTGTGACAAAAAAGAATAATCTGTGACCTCAACGATTTGGTCCGTGACCTTAAAATTTGACGATCTGTGACTAAAATAATAATATGTGACCTCAACGATTTGGTCCGTGATCTTAAAATTTGATAATCTGTGACTAAAAAAATCTGTGACCTATAAAATTTTCGATTTGTGACCTTGAAATAATCCGTGACCAATTCATTTAATAATATGTGACTGATATATAAATCTGTGAAATCTGTGACCATTATTTGTTTAACTGTGACTTTAATATATTTATTTAATAAATAATTTTAATTAATTAAATACAAACCTGAATTTTGAATTTTTCAACTTTTTACCCGACTTTTGAAATGGTGTAAAAAATACACTTTAAATATGATTTTTTCCCTATTTTATTCTCTGTAGCACTCAGGTATCCACAATTTTATTTTACTCAAATCGTGATATTCGCATTAATTATTGATCATCACAACTTACATCAATTTTATCGTGATATTTACAGCATTTACATGTCCAATATTTTATTTCTGTAGCACTTAGGTATCAACAATTTTATTTTACTCAAATCGTGATATTCGCATTAATTATCGATCATCACAACTTAGGTGAAGGTGGGCCTTACATCAATGTATTTAAATGCATCACAATTTAGTTGAATAGCTAATTAGAGGTTACACACAACCAAAATTAGCAATAATTATTACTAATAACAAATAACAATATTCATACTATTGTCTTCAATTAAAGAATAATAATAATTGGCATTACTGATCATCATCATCACGTTACTTGATAATACAGTGAGTTAGTGACATTAATCTCATGTTTTATTCTCATTTTCTAAAACTCATTTTTGATTATATATTTCACGAGACTCATATTTTTTTTATCAATTTTTTCAAATACACAATTTATTAACTTTTATTAAAATTTACTGAAAATTTATTTTTTATCTAAACCCAACATGTACTAAATTATAGGTGCAATTTAAATGCAGGACCAAGTCACGTATATTACAGGACATGTTAAATAAACATGATGATAGCCTTTAAATAAACTCTCCATTAGATCCCATTTTTTGTAATTATAACTATCGTCAATCTCTTTGACATGGATGTGAGAAGAATAATAATTTTTATTCGTGTTTATTATTTAATTTTTGGTTTATTTGAAGATAAGGGTAAATTCGTCAGTATAATAAAATCTTATTTGTTAAATGAACGAAGGATGAAATTGTCCACTTAGACTTAGGTGCCACTAGAATGAAAGTGATGATATAAATGCTCCATTTGAAGAATCAAAATTTCTTTTGCACAGAATTTGTGGTGTCAGAATTTCACCAAGTGACAATACTTGGTTTATTTATTATTATTATTTTTTTAACTGGATGCTGCCATGTGTATTCTGTGAACATTTCGGCTGAAAATGTCAGAACACATAGCACTTCTATTTGAAGAATAGGGACCAGTGTGCAACATGCATCTAAAAGCGGGGACCTTTCTGCTATTTTCCCTTTCTAATTTCAGATTTTTAATTTGCTAAATGCTAATTTGTTTCATAAGCAAGCCCACACCCACTCCCTCTCTCTTTCTGGATTTCGGCTGCTCCCAATTTTCATCCTCCAGGTACAGATCATCTGTGAGACATCTCAACGCACTACACCGCACGGTCCTCACCCACCCTATCCCCGCCCATCTCCTCCGCACCAAATCCATCGCTAACCCACGTTCTTCTTTCCCCCCAATTTCAACTCCATAGATTTATGGGTTCTTATAATAATAGTCCACTCCGCATCTCTGCATAATCACGTGTTCACATATTGTTTGATGTGCTTGTAGTTTGATTTTGTCGTAACAATTTTGGGTTTGGGTTTAGTGCAGAAAGTGAGAATGGACGTAAATTCAATGTTTCATGTGGTGGCGCTAGCATGCACGGCATGAATACGTGGTGGTAGAGTTGAGTTCGTTAGGTGTAGTTTCTGCCGTTGATTTAGAAGGTTGCCAAGATCTAGAGTTCAGATGTTGAATCAGACAGTGAAGGTGAATAGGGACACAATTGCGGCATGCATGACATGCCCTCTCTGCAATAAGCTCTTCCGCGATGCCACCACTATTATCGAATGCCTACATACGTGTGAGTTGCTCTCTTTTGCCGTAATTGTTTGAAATCATATTATTTTTTTTTTCTACTTTGGTCCGGAATTTAGTGCTAATTAGTCGAATTTTGGTTTTCTTCGGATTGTCGGGTTTCATTATCAGTTTCTCGACTTGAGTTTGCATTTTGTGTTATGGATTCTAGGTTTTGTCATGAATTGCGGTCTATTTCTCTGGGAACTTTTGATGTTTTCATGGGTTTTTAGTAATTACAAATATGTTCGTACGTTTCTCATCTGTATGCCCTTCTGTGTGGACTTTTTTCATATTTATATTTTCAGTTTCTGATTACGTGAGATTTTCTATTTCCTGCTCGAGTTGTTAACCGCCACCTGAAGCTCCGATTCTTCCCCGAGAAACTCTACATTTGATGTGAGCTAGATTTTGCAATGCCAACTTTATTTTGGTTCTCATTTGTATTTTCTGAGCTTCAAGAATTTTTCTTTAATCATTGGATAATCTTTGGAAAATTTGGTTGAGAAATCTGATATCTTGTTTCTGAATATCATCCAGTTTGTAGGAAATGCATTTTTGAGAAGCTTTCAGACGAGGAATTGGAATGCTGTCCAATATGCAATATTGATTTAGGATGTGTCCCAGTTGAGAAGTTGAGGTCTGATACTTCTTCTAACTCCATGATGCGTTCTTACCACTACTTTCTCTAGTGTAAGATAATAATGAACACAAACACTTAAACGGAAGGAAATAAATTGAAAATAATTCATGCATAAATTTTTATCAGATCATTTTGGTTTCCAGATCTCATCTGTATAGTACTAAACCCCCTCTCCCCCCATACTGGAAACTCTCATTTAGTGGAACTATACTTGTAGTATCTTTTTTAGTTCACAGTCTTGTTACCAACTTATTGGTATTGCAATGTTAAGCTGGTTGTTCATAGGGTGAAGCATGGGCATGATACAACAGGATATCTCAGATTGCAAGAATAAACTGACATTTGGAACTCATATTATGTGAAATGTACCGTACAACATCCTTAGGTTGATTCGATGTGCAGGCAATTAAAGTTCAGGCAACACTAACTTAACATTGACAATTTTAAAGTTATGCAGAATGAAAAATAATTAAAAAAAAAAAAAGGTATAACAAGACAATGATTTAGGAGCTCCATGTAAAAAATTTACCCAAGCTCTAGGTTAACTGGTGTTTTTATTAGTATTTATTATAAGGACTTATATTTACATGTATTGAAGTTTTGGGAAGCGGGTTTATCACTGTCCTAATACAGGTGGAGACTATAGGGTATTACTCTCAGCATTTGATGTGGAGTAGGGCTTGTTAGTGTATTTAATGATAAGATTATGTGCTCTTCTTTTTTGGGCACATAAGTACCTTAATGTTTGTAGATTCGGCATTGGAAAGATCAGAATTATTTTTTTTGTCAAGCATGTCTATTGATATTTGAGTATTAGGCCGGATCATAATTTGCAAGATGTAAGGACTAAGATATTCCCTTACAAGAGGAGAAAGGTGCTGGCACCTGAATTGGTGACTCCAGTTACATTACCGGCAAAGAGAAAGGAAAGATCCCTCTCATCATTGGTTATTGGTACTCCTAGAGTATCGATACAGAGTGGCATGACTGGAAGAAGATCAAAGTCTGTTGCAAGGAAAGCATCAAGAGGTTCCAGTTTTACCATAGAGAAACCTTTTAAGAAAGATGAAGACTCCATGGAAGACCATCTCGATAGCTCTAGCTCACCCGAGACTTTGAACAAATTCTCTCAGAACAACAGGAAGGTAAGGAATATATTTTGAAGCTTGACAGACATTGCCTCATACATAGGCTTCTTCCATATGCTTTATTCTACCTGCCTTGTCATATTTTCATAGACTCAACTTTTCATGCTCAGTGACCTTGCTTTTGCAGAACTCCAGTGCTATCCATCCATCTAGCTTCACAACACCAGATAATGGAAGAGAGAGTGGTTCTGAACCAAGGGAAGGGAAAGTTGATCCTTGGAAACCTTTAAATTATTTGGTGGACGCTGCAAGTAGGAGTAAGTCTTCAAAATTTACCTCGCAAGGTTCTGCTGCTAAATCAGAAGCTCTACTATCCCAAGACAATGAAGGACATGTTCGTAAAACCAAAAGTAAAGAACATGGTCAGAAATCGGTACTTCAAGATGGGAAGATCAGCAGTGCATGTTCCCCCCCTGATTCAGTAAAACCTAAAAAATTGCGCAAAATCCGCCAGAAAAAGGCTCAGAATTCTGGGGAATTTAGGATCTCACCCCAGACTGTGCTTGATGCTATCAGTATTAAAGGTGAAAGGAGAAACAATCCAATTTGGTTCTCGCTGGTGGCTGCTGATAACCAGTATGAATTTACTTCATCTCCCTATTGACTAGATATTCTGTAGGGACTGTATGTGGTTATGTGTTCAATCTACCTATCCATATCATCTAATTTCTTTATTATGTTTTCAGGGATGGAGATACACCCTTGCCGCAGATTTCTGCAAGTTTCTTGAGAATAAAGTGAGTTCTCATTAGCTTCCTTTCATTTTGATTGTTCAGTGAACATTTTATTTGGTCAGATAGTGGATATTTATTATTTAGAGACGTTGATCTGGTATTATTCCCCCAAAAATCTGTAGTTCACATAATGATGTTAATTTGATATTGATAAAACTACCCGATTAAACACAGTACCACATGTTTTTTTGGGGTTTCAAGATATGGGTGGCTTGCCGGCAGACATTCTCCCTATGTTGAGCATTTGTTAAATTATCCTCCTCTTTTCTGGTCTCTTTGGCTCATGCATGAGAGTATTGTTAACTGCAGTGAACTATTCGTACACCGGATAATTATACCATACTGCCTTTATGGCCAGCATAATACTAATTGCATAATAAAAATAGATGGCTTTTGTTCTTGTACGAAGTTTGAGAGGACTCCTACAATTACATTAGTGCGCACTTACTCTGGTCAGCTCTATTGTAGTGTGAGTATGATAATACAGTTAGCTTCTTCCTGGATTTTATGTCCTGCTTTTGTTTTGTTTATCTAGGTTTGTTTTAAGTGGTTGGCATTTATTGAAGCATTGAATATTTATTATCTCCTTGGAGATACTTGAAGCCCCTTGGGCATCGATTCTGATCTGATTGCGTCACAAATCAGCAAAATCTTACTCAATAGTTTGATAATGTATGCACTATGTTCTGGAGCCATATGGTTTGATGGTGGCTTGGAAGCAATAAGTTGAACCACTTGATTTAAAAGTTTATGCCATTGGAGGGATCTATGTATATCCTCTTCAACATGTCTCCTCACATGTAGACGAGATTTCCTTTTTCTTAAAAACATGACACATACACAAATTCATTAAAGAATTGGTGGCAGGACTTCAACTCAAGGTCTTATGAGTCTCACTTAAATCTTGTCTTCAACACTGTCCAACTTAAAAAAATCTAGTTTCCACTGCTGAGTCCTTTCAAATTGATTTACTATGTGATTCTGGTGACTCTCAAATGAAGTGATGCAGACATTATGTTAGGGGAAAGAAATGGTAGAAAGAAAATGAAAGAAGCATCATCTTTTGTTATTGAATTGCCGTTGCTTTCTTGATGTAGGAAGCTTGTAAACAAAGATTCGCAATCAACAATTTATGAGACTTGAGAAGAAAGCGAGAGAAAAAGAAGAAAGGGTAGAGAATAGTGTGAATTTAGTGCGAGAAAATAGAGTTTGCTAAGTTATCAAGTCTGACTATTACAATGGCAATCTCTCTTTATCTAGAGTTTAAGAAAACTTAATCTAAGAAGGAAATTAAGGTGGTAAACCCTAATTTAAGTCAAACTAGAAAACTATAATAAACTGAAATAAGCTAATTTAAATCAAACTAAATCTGTGTTCCAGATCTACTAAGAATATATTTTATTCTTATCTTCTTTCCCCAGCATTTCTATTCTTTTAATTTGAGGGAGTTCAGTTCCACTCTTCCTACTGCACATAATGTATGTTATTACTGTTGTCACTGTTTGTGACTGATGCTATTGCTACTGTCATTGCCATTTTGTGTGGCAAAGCAACATTTTTCCCCAAAAGTGTCCCAGTTGCCCACGAGTTCTTCCAATATTCATTAGAAGCCCCCTAAAATGAAAAGCAGTCACAAGCATCAACTTCTACCCAGTGGTGTATGGATGTGCTAGTTTCCTGCAATTTTAACATGAGCACTGCTTGTTCACAATATATTGCTATTTGGTTGTTCATGTTATGAATAACTGCCTTCATAATTGTAATTTATTTGACTTGCCTCGTGTTAAGATATAGTGTGATAATCGAAATAAATCTATTGGAAGAGGCTCATTAGCCCAAACCTTTGTCAGCCAAAATAAAGTCCTATTCTTGCCTCCGGCAGTCTCTTCAATTCAAATTCCAATTTTTTAGCATGTGGTCCCAAAATCCCCTCTCCTAGCTGCTCCATAGCCAGTCTTTCTACCCAAGCATATCTTCCCAGACCTCAAGGCTCATTTGACATGTTCATGTTGGAACCGATGAGTGATTAGAGCTGTATAACATCCCAATGTATCACTTTTGGGAATTGACTTCTATTAGAGCTTACAATTTTAAACATGATGCTTAGAGATAATTGTTTGTAGGTTACATTTGAACTAGGTTACTTGAAAACTAAAGAATACTAAAATATGAGTTGTAACTTGTAGTAATTGTGCTGTTGAAGGAAGTCTCTTTTAGAACTTCAGGTGTAGTATCAAAGTTACATTTGAAGTTCTTTGGAATCTTATATGTGAGTTCAAATCTCATATTAGTTACACAGATATAACCGTATGACAAAATGAACCTCCCTTAGTGATGCAGCGGAAAAATGAAAAGATTCAATGCACTCCAAAAATCCTTTGATTACGTGAATGTATATATATGGGAGTCAAAGATTCATTTGATAACAAAGAATGCTTAAAATTCAACAAGATGAGAAAGTTCTCAATTTTTATTCATTAATCAATCAACCCAAAAATAATAATAGTTAAAAAAAAAAGGAAAAAAAGCTGACAACTTATAAAGTGTTTAAATAGAAAAACCTAGATAGGACAAAAGCTTAAACTTGCAGGATGTAAGTTCCCTTAGTTATAGCTTAAATTGAAAGAAATAAAATAATAGAAAAACCCTAATTTAGTTTTTAGACTTCACCACTTGGTCAGCCATGAAGTATGGAGTTGTAGTTTCAGGTAAAATACGAGAAAGTCTTTCTTCATTATTGAAGAATGCACTTAGTGTCTGATATAGATCTTGGGAGAGCTATACCTTAAGAGCTAACTATTGATGTTGGAGAGCCAAGTCTATATAAACTACACAACGAAAATCAATACTTATGATGTGGGCTTCAAATCCCATACCTTGCAATGAGAATCATGACAATCTACCATGCTTCGGCATCCCCGCGCCCACATCGAACTGGCTTTGCATTTGCCCATTACTAGTCCTAAAATGGAAAAGGGACTATTTTATTGACTTGGAAACGTGAAAGTACATAGTTGTTTAAAACATGAAGTCGTGGTCCATCAAGGGGACCACTTGTCTCCTTTTATAGCTGATTTTGGAAGGGGACCATGAAGACGCAATTATTGAGAAAAGGTGCCTCTTCGTATTCCACAACAGTGTCATTCTATTTTCTACCACACGAGTGGCAATATTGCAGATTGCCTATGCTCAATCTCTCGTGAAACTCCGGCTCTTGCCTTCTTTATGCTTTTGACGGTGATGGAATTATGCGCATCTCAAACTCTACTTAACCTTGTTTCTTTCACCTTTTTTTTTTTTTTTTTTTTTTTAATTTTTTTTTTTGGGGGGTTTTTTTCCTTTTTTTTTTTTTTTTTTTTTAATTTTTTTTTTTGGGGGGTTTTTTTCCTTTTTTTTTTTTTTTTTTTTTAATTTTTTTTTTTGGGGGGTTTTTTTCCTTTTTTTTTTTTTTTTTTTTTAATTTTTTTTTTTGGGGGGTTTTTTTCCTTTTTTTTTTTTTTTTTTTTTAATTTTTTTTTTTGGGGGGTTTTTTTCCTTTTTTTTTTTTTTTTTTTTTAATTTTTTTTTTTGGGGGGTTTTTTTCCTTTTTTTTTTTTTTTTTTTTTAATTTTTTTTTTTGGGGGGTTTTTTTCCTTTTTTTTTTTTTTTTTTTTTAATTTTTTTTTTTGGGGGGTTTTTTTCCTTTTTTTTTTTTTTTTTTTTTAATTTTTTTTTTTGGGGGGTTTTTTTCCTTTTTTTTTTTTTTTTTTTTTAATTTTTTTTTTTGGGGGGTTTTTTTCCTTTTTTTTTTTTTTTTTTTTTAATTTTTTTTTTTGGGGGGTTTTTTTCCTTTTTTTTTTTTTTTTTTTTTAATTTTTTTTTTTGGGGGGTTTTTTTCCTTTTTTTTTTTTTTTTTTTTTTTTTAAATTTTTTATTTGGGTATATAAATTTTATATGTGGTGATATATTTGTTTTTTATAGGCTTGTATGTATATAGAAGCCAAAAAAAAAAGGGAAAAATAAAAAAGAAAAAACTTCAGCTGGTGCATTTCATTTTCCATTGTTTAGGTTCAAATGTCAAAATCCAGTTGGTAATCATGATTGTCAAAGAGCTAGTAATTATAAATTTTTCTTGAGATGTATCTACCATAGATCGAAGGGGTCATTAAGCTTAAATTATTTACTTTCCACATTGCAATTCAGCCATAAAGAGATGGAATAGCTTCATACTTTTCAGTTTTGTGAAAGTTTATCATCATGTTGAAGATATTATTCCAATGATGCATCAAATTGAAAGAGAGAAAGCAACGGCGTGCTGTATGGTTAAAACTTACTCCTATAGTATCCTATAAAATAATTAATTTCTCCTCCAATGGAATTCAGCAATGCACATGCATAAAGAGAAGGGGTTACAAAAGAAATTTAGCTGTCAAGCATTTCATTTGTCTTTATCTTTCTCTTGGGATTGGGTTTCTTTTTCTTTCGGGGTGGGGATGGGGGTGTTATCTCGTGATTGAATTTATCATTTTCTTGTATGGCATCTAGACTTAAGAATACAACGTGGTTCTCCGAGTATTTCATTGTCCCTCTGGAGAATAAAGTTGAAGGGCACAGCACAATCTGGTTTTTGGTCTGCTCTTGCAGATCTTATAGCATGTTATACTGATGTGTTCTATTGTAGTCAAGAAATATTCTTATTTATACCTGTTTCATTCGCTCACAGGGATGGGAGCATGCCCGTTTCTTTTATCCAAAAATACCTGATGAGAAAACTGGATCTTACAAGCGAAGATGAGGTAAGTAAATTTAGCCCCAAGTTTTACAAGCGGTGACTTCAGTTAATAATAGTTTTATTAAATTTAAGCAAATTTGGGCGAGTCTTGGATTTTGTAACGTGCATGCTTGGCAAGTGATAAAACTAAAATTTAAGCGATTAAAGTTGTGGGTCATATCGAATGTGTGGATAATAAGTGGGGAATAAAATGTACATTTGATCACTTCCCAAACACTCTCTAAGGTGATACATCTCTGTTTCACTAAAATTTCCAATGCTTCTTCAACTGCGCATTTATGTTTGAAATTTGAAAATGGAGAGAACAAAGTTGAATAAGTTGTCATCAGATTTCTCAGCTTCTCTCGGCAACTCGTGCTTCCTTGGCACCTCCATAGTTTTCTCCCTCTTATATCTACGGCCAACAGAAACTACCCTCTGCCTGCCACTACAGTGCATCCCCTGCTGCCACTGTATTTCCCATGATTAACCACCATTACCAGCTGCATCCCCCACTTCCCAAGAACTTCAGAGTTTGCATCTTCGGGAAATACTTTCCACCCTAAAAATTCATATCTTACATACCCAACTTAGTATTGCCCTATACTGCCCCATCAAAACCACCAACCATATACTATCACGAATACTGCCAAACAAGTTTTTCGATAATTCTATCAGGATTGTTTTATGAGAGAATTTCTTTATACTATTGTCTAGAATGTTTGATTTGGATATTAAATGAGCATATACCGTGCTGTAGACTCTAAGCGATTGGCATATGTGATAGATTACTGAACCTAGAGATTGCTTATTGTTCTGCTGATTATTTTGTAGGTTGAAATTAAATGCATGGGCAAGTCAGTAGTTCCCACATTGCAACTAAATAATTTGATTGACTTGTGGCTTCAATCAACTTCTTCAGAAAAAGTGTCAGCAACAATTGGTTCATCCGCTTCAGATTTCGTAATGATACTGGTGTATGCTCACAGAGTCCCAGCTCCTTGAATGTATTCACCTCGATTCTTTATATCTTCAATAATCTATATAAATACCATTTAAGATTTCGGAATAAGTTGAAGTTGCACTTCCTCACCCTGTCTCCGTTATGAGCACTTCTTGTGATATCTTATTTCTTACTGCTGTTACAATAGCCATAAATGGAGAGAGAGACTCGTTCTCCGAGTCAGCTTACTGGGTGGCTTCTTTCTTTTTGGGAAAGTAGTTGCACGGAAGCAGATGAATCGCTGAATTGGTTCATGAACTGCCGGAGGTTTTAAGTGCGCTATAGATTGGGGTGTTTCGTGTGTCTGTTTCTTTGGACATCTGTACATTAGTGCATCTACTATGTAGGTGAATTTTCATTATATGGAGTGATTTTCTCCCATCATCTTGGACTTGTAGAATGTACTATTATTACCATTTGACTTTATAGTAATTTTGTTTGATGTCTTCTACTTGAGCTCCATATGTGCCTTTATATGATAAAATGTAGTTTTATGTTTTCTTCAAATGCAATTTCCTTTAATTAATTAGTGCATGTTTGGTTGTGCTTTCAAGTTGGTCTAATATCATTTTAACCAAGCATTAATGAGGAGTTAAAAGTTTTTTGACTTTTAACTGAATATTCTTTGAGACCTACTACTTATAAGCACCGAAAAGCTGCATGGTACTTGGGGGACACTTGACATAAATTCTCGATTTTTTGGTAAGGCTAGAACAATATAAAAGTAAGCAGATGATCTAAAGTTACGATTATAGTACAAATGCCTCGTGTATCACAAATACATTAAAAAAATGTCTATAGTAGAAAGAATTAGAACTAGGAACGACATCTTCTAGTGTGATCTTGTTTTAACCTTTTCAATGATTTTACCACTTTTGAGGTTGTCTTGCCACTTTAGGCGGGGTATCTTCGGTTGACCAATCAAGAAAATTGATTATGCATTTGCATTACATGCTGCATCAAGAAGCGAGTTTAGAAGATCAACTGCAAAATTCTCACCAAAGATGTCATAACATAATATGACGAAATTTACATTGAATAGCAGAAAACCCAGAGTCGTTAGGTTGGAGTTTGACAAAATCAAGAGGCTGGGGGATAGCTAGCATAGCAATCATCAAATAATGGAGAAACAAATTAATCTCATCCATTTTTAAATTTTTTTTAATCATTTAACGTATTTTTTGAATCAACGTGTCAATGGGGTGTCATTGTGTTAAGGATTATTTTACTTGTATTTCCAACAAAAATGACTAAAATTTTAGTCAAGGCGATGTCTGTTGCATATCAAGTTTTATATAACCTATCACATTAAACATGTCAAGGTTAGCACGGGAATTGATTCATATTTTTGGAACTAAAAGTAGTTCTTTTTAATTTTCAAATAGTAATGAGGATTTAAGAGTAATTTTTCAAAATTTATTTAATTTCACTTTCGACATGGCATATTACATGGACGAGATGATTTATCTCCTCCATTAAAACCCAAAATGTATTTTTGTCTTCTTTTTTTCTTTTCAATCATACATTTTTCAATAAAATAACATTACACTACAATTCAAAAAAATTTCTTCTTTTTTAATTACACATTCTCCAAAAATATTACTATTCCAAAATACATTTTTCCTAAAAACTAATTTGAATGGAGCCCAAACATGGGCTTAATCAATAGTCACTGAACTTTATTATCAATTATTACTAGCTCACCGAAACTTAAAAATTTACTTGTTGCTTTCTTGCAGTAATATTCTCAGTCCGAGAGTTCTAAAGAGAAGAGAAAGCTTCAGGTTCGATATGGAGTTTTGTTTTTACAACAGGTTGAAAGCAGTGCCCGCTCCCTCTCATCGAACTTTGTTGTAGGTCAATTGCTCATCGAAATTTAAGTAGTGTTTACTGAACTTTGTTATATGTTACTACTTACTTACCAAAATTTAAAATGCGTTGCTCATCCAAATTTGAAAAAACTTACTCTTCCATCACACGTCATTTTCATTGGTCCACGTTGACAAAAATCAATGTGATTGATGAAAAATCCTACATGGCACTGACGAAGTTAAAAAAAAAAAAAATGATAGCGTGGACAAAAAAAGTTACTTGTTGCACAACAAAAATTGCTTATGCGATCGCATGATATTGTCCACTACGATCACATGAGCAATCTCTGTTATTAAAGTGCATTGTTGTTCTTCCCTTCCTCTTGTTAATGAAAAAATAATGATAAATTTCAGTAACAAAAATTGCCCATGCAATCGCAGTGGATAATACCATGCAATCGCATGGGCAATTTGCGTCGAGCGTCACACGAATTTTTTTGTTCACGTCGTTATTTTTTTAACTCCATCAATGTCATATGCTTCATCAGTGCCGTGCATGATTTTTCATCATTTTTGTCCATGTGAACTGATTAAAATAATATGGGCGATAGCCAATAAATTAGTAACTTATATCAAAGTTGGGTGGATAACTAGTAATCTTTTAAATTTCAATAAATATGTAGTAATTTATAGTGAAGTTCAATGAGTGACGATTAACTTTTTATATTTTGATGAGTAAGTAATAATTTGTAGTAAAGTTTAATAAGCAGTGAATAATATTTTAAATTTTGATGCCCAAAACAAATTTCAGATTATTGATTAAATTAACTCTTACATGGACTCACAGCGCAGCTAAGTAAACGACGTCGCTTGTTCCAAAATCTGGTGAAAACCCATAAATAAGCCAGTAGCCCAAGAGAGAGACTGTCCAAAAACCTTCATCATCTACCCAGAGATCGAAAGCGGGTCGGCATCTTGTTTGTGTAAGCTCGCCACACGAGAGAGGGAGAGGGGGGACATATCGATCAGTGTAGAGGGGGGACATATCGATCAGTGTAATCAGAATGGTTTACATCACATCATGGGACGATTTTGTAGAAAAATCCGTCCAATTGTTTCGTGCCGATCCCGAGAAAGTAAATCCTTCATTTACAATTTATTTGATTTCTCTTTGGATTGTTTAAATTGATAGTTGTTAATTTTGTGGCGCAGACTCGTTATGCGATGAAATATAGGCACTGCGACGGTAAATTGGTTCTCAAAGTCACTGACGATAAAGAGGTACAAACTTTGTACTGACTTTGTAGGTACAGGTTTAATTTGCATGTTAAAGCTAAGTGTTTTCGTGATTTCAGTGACTGTTACAAATTTATTGAACTCAAAACAGATGCGCGGCAATTTGTATGAATGCACTGGTTCCTCATTGAAAGCTTGTAGGAAAATTATAAAATAATTTAGTAAAAAGAATTAGGCCGAGATGCTGTATTTCTATACAACACTCCAATTAAGTAAACAATTAGGCCGAAAGCAAAAGCACTGGTTCCTCCTTGACCATTTCTTCTGCATTTTTGTGCTCCAGAACATTACTTCTTCCTTTTTCCTTTTTTAGTTGGGTTTAAATTAGATGTTAGATGAATGGTACATCTGTTTGTAGACTATTGGTTTGCTGATTTCTCAATGCTTTCTGTACCTTTTGTATGACAAATGATTTATTAAGAGCCTGTTTGAGAGTGATTTTGAGAATTGATTTTTTGACCGTTAGGAAAAAAGTGGGGTCCACCTGTGAGAGAAGAAGTCAAATATGACGGCTGAAATAGTGAAATAACGATCAAAAAATCAATTTTTTGGGTGAAAAAATGGGGCCCAAACAAGCCCTAAAGTAATGAGAAATAGCATATTAGAAGCCAAGAAGCATGATGCATTCAAACGAATCACACCACCAGACAACCCAGACTGATGAGAAGACTTAATTTACATGTTATGGCTATATCCAGGGACCTCCTCTCAATGATGAAAGTTCAGTAGGGAAATTCACCTAGTTATAGTTCCTTAAAACCTCTCCAAACATGTGAAAATCTTAAAAAACTCGTGCAAACAAATGAGACCTAATATTTTCTTAACGTGAGGGGATTGGGAGCAAGTCTATTTTCATAATCTGAATTTTAAAACTTGATATTATCCAAAGCCTTAATATGGTTGACATGTCAAGAAAGAGAATCCACAAGGCTGACTATCTGCCAATGGACCTATGACCAAGTGTTAGCTAGTGGATTTATTGCCAATGGCAAATTAATCACAAAGATCTTACAATTGACTATTTGGAAATATTTTGGATGGCTCCATTATTGAAAATGAAACTTGTATTGTGCCCCGGACCATCGGCTCATACTAGACTCATGGCAGCAAAGCTGAAGTTTCTTGGCAGAATCACCATCTCCTTTTCTTATCATATAGCCCCTATTTGGTGGCCTTTAATTTGAAGGAAAAAAAAAAAACTATGTTTCGAATAGTATTTTGATATGAACCTTCAAATAATGCAAGAGAAATAATAAACTTCTTTGATAAACGAGAATTACAAAGCAACTCTCTGCTAAGGAAAAGCAGAGTGTATACAATGGAACTGAATAAATGATAATTTTGGCTATTCGAGAGAGCCAATCCTCTCCTAACAGATTACCAAATTCTGCATGACCAGATGTTCATTGCTTCTCCTATTTAAATGTTGTTCTGCTTCTAGACTGTTCACCCCAACCATATTATGTAACCGTGCATGTGGCTTATTCTCTGTGTGTGTTTCCTCTTTTGCCCTTGCCCTTGCGCCTCTGATAAGTGACCTGTATTGCGGGTCTAACATTACTCCCCCCAACGAGACTCACCTTGTCCTCAAGGTGAAAGGAAGGAAATTGCTGTTTCAGCAGATCATACGATTCCCACGTCGCTTCCAGCGGTGGCAGCCCCTTCCATTGAATCAACACATCCAGTCCTCTAATGTTGTGACCTGACCCAGGTCGCACCCCCAGCACTGCTTCCGGCTCCACCAACATTTCTAATTCCTCATTCAGTTGATTAGGCACTTCATCCACAGCATGTGTTGCCCCCACTGCCTTGCGCAACTGTGAAACGTGAAAAACCGGGTGAATGCTACAGGTGGGGGGTAAGGACAGCTTATACGCCACTGGTCCAATCCTCTTTTCCACTACAAATGGACCATAGAATCTTGGAGCCAATTTTTCATTACTCCTGGTAGCCAATGTCTTCTGGCGATAGGGTCTGATCTTCAAGTATACCAAGTCCCCAACCTCGAACTGGATATCCCTGCGTTTAGCGTCGACTATGCCTTTCATTTTAGCTTGAGCTCGGAGTAGTTGTGCCTTTAACTCATCTAGTATTCGATCACGTTCCCTCAACTGTTGTTCTACTACTGAAACTGCCGTGCACCCTCTTTCAATCCTCACCAAGGCTGGGGGTTCCCTCCCATATACGATTTGGAAGGGAGTAGCTTTGGTGGCTGTATGAAAGGACGTGTTGTACCATAATTCTGCCTAGGGTAGCCAACTGAACCAAGATTTAGGTTGAGATGAAGCGAAACATCGAAGATAAGTTTCTAATGTGCGGTTCAGTACCTCTATCTGTCCATCGGACTGGGGATGGTACGCTTTACTTCGGCTGAGCTTGGTTCCTTGCAACCTGAATAACTCTTCCCAAAAATGACTCACAAAAATTTTATCTCGATCCGAAATGATAGAATGCGGTACTCCATGGAGTCGTACCACTTCCTTGATGAAAATTCTCGCCACACTAGCAGTCGTAAAAGGGTGTTTGAGCCCAATAAAGTGCCCATATTTACTCAGTCTATCAACCACCACCAAAATGGTGTTCATATTCCCCGACTTCGGTAACCCCTCGATGAAATCCATGGCAATATCTTCCCAAACCTGATTTGGAATAGCGAGTGGTTGTAGAAGGCCCGCCGGTGAGAGAGCACTGTATTTGTTTTGCTGACAAACCGTACACTGTCTAACATACTTACTTATGTCTGATTTCATTCCCTCCCAGTATACACTTGCTGCTATCCGTTTGTAAGTCTTCAACCACCCAGAGTGGCCCCCTAACTTGCCATCATGTCCCTCTTGTAGCAGTATGGGAATTATTGTCGACCTTTTGGGTAGCACCAACCTTCCTTTAAATAGTAATTGACCATTCACCATTGCATAATCAGGCCTGCTGAGGGCATCTCTGGTGATGTCCTGGATGACCCCTTGCAATTGTGGGTCTGCCTTTACCTCTTCAGCTATTGATTCCAGTTGCACCATTGCCGGAATTGATATTGCCATTAATTCAGATGAAGAGCTTACTCGTGACAATGCATCGGCAGCCCTGTTCTCACTTCCTGGACGATATTGGATTTCAAACTGATACCCCATCAATTTAACTAACCACTTCTGATACTCCGGGTTTACTTCTCGTTGCTCCATTAAAAACTTCAAACTTTTTTGATCGGTTCGAACTAAGAACTTCTGACCCAGCAAGTAGTGTTTCCACTTTTGGATTGTGAAAACGATGGCCATCAATTCTCGCTCATAGGCTGATTTCACCCTTCCCTTTGGGTTAAGAGCATGACTGTAAAATGCGATGGGGTGCTGGTCCTGCATAAGTACTGCCCCCAATCCAAACCCCGAAGCATCAGTCTCTATAACGAAAGGCTTACTGAAGTCAGGAAGAGCAAGTACCGGCACCGTAGTCATGGCTACCTTCAAGCTATTAAAGGCTCGTTCTGATTCCTCATCCAAGAAAAAATTGTCTTTACGCAATCGTTCTGTTAATGGCCACGCTAACTTGCCATAATCCTTAACAAAACGACGGTAATACCCAGTCAGCCCCAAAAATCCCCTCAACTCCCTTATTGAACTGGGGCTTGGCCAGTCTATCATGGCTTGAATTTTAGACTTATCTGCCGCCACCCCGTGACGGGAAATAATGTGCCCGAGATACTCCACCTCTGCATGCCCAAAGCTACATTTTTTTCTGTTGGCATGTAGCTGGTGTTGGGATAGCACCTGCAGTACACTCCTCAGATGCCTAATGTGTTCTTCACTGCGACTGAATACTAAAATGTCGTCAAAGAACACTAACACAAAGCGCCTCAGCTTCTCTTTGAATACTTCATTCATGAGCGATTGGAATGTGGCCGGGGCGTTAGTGAGTCCAAACGGCATGACGATGAACTCATAATGCCCTTCATGTGTTCTGAACGCTGTTTTCGGAATGTCCTCCGGTTTGACTCGAATCTGATGGTAACCTGCCTTCAGATCCAACTTAGAAAAAATCGTGGCCCCATGTAATTCATCCAATAGTTCATCTATCACGGGAATGGGAAACTTATCCGGTACAGTCACCTTATTCACTGCTCGGTAATCTATACAAAATCTCCATCCCCCATCTTTTTTTCTCACCAGTAGAACCGGGCTGGAAAACGGGCTGGTGCTAGGCCTAATGATCCCAGCAGCTAACATCTCGCGAACTAACTTCTCTATCTCGTTTTTTTGATTATGCGAGTAACGATAGGGCCTTACGCTGACAGGGCCAGTACCTGGTTGAAGAGTAATCGCATGATCTCTGGTCCGTGGGGGTGGCAACCCCACGGGTTCTTCAAACAACTTCTCAAATTCCTCCAAGACATGCTTAATTTCCTTCGATATCCCTCCCTGCCACTCCCCACCGTCAACTCCCAGGCTGCCTAACTCCAGAAGCACTCCTTCTCCCTCTCCTTTGAATGCTTTGACCATAGCCTTCAACGTAATCAATGTTTTGCTAAGGCTCGGGTCTCCCTGTAAGGTCATTGTGGTTCCTCCTACCTGAAATTTCATCCTGAGTGCCTTCCAATCAATTTTCGTTTGGCCTAGAGTTGAAAGCCATTTCATTCCTAGAATCACGTCAGAACTCCCCAACTCCAAAGGGAGGAAGTCCTCTACTACCTCTATATTCTGCAAGGATAATTGCACTCCTTTACAAATTCCTGCCCCTTGCACCGCCAACCCAGTCCCCATGATCACCCCATACTTCAACGTCTCTGTTCTCGGCAACTCCAATTTCTGCACCAAGTCTGTCGCTATGAAATTATGACTAGCTCCACAATCAATTAACACCACTACTGGCTCGCCGGCAATTTTTCCTTTCAGCTTCATGGTCTGTGGTGGGGTAAGACCCACCACCGAATTCATGGACAATTCCACCATCTCGCCGGTCGTCAGTCCCTCGTCTTCCATTACCTTCTCGGGTGG